TCGGTGTTTTAGGAGATTTTTCCTGTTTTTTGAAGGATTCTTGACCTTTTGATCGTGGTGTTGATGGTTTTGAGTCTTTTCCATTATGGTTTGATTTTTGTGCATTTTTGCCTGGAGTATCTCATATAGATTTCTTTACTGGAGCTTTTTCTTCAGCTTCCTCATGATCAAAATCATCATCATCATCATCATCCTCATCATCTTCATCAGGAGCAAGTTTTACTTTTTTCTGTGGAACCTTGCTTCCACTTCCAGGGGTAGAACACTTTCCTGACAGGGAGTTTCACATCCTCCTTTTCTTCATCTTCTGACTCTGCATCTTCCTCCACAGACACTAAATGCTGTCCGCTAATATGCATAGGCCCTGAACCACACTTCAACCGTAAGACCACAGGTGGTGTTATTTCAAAGCCACCAAGGGAAACCGTGGGCTGTAAAGACATTTTCAGAGTTGCCAATGTTACTTTAATTGGACTGCCTTCATAATTCATTGCCTCTGCTTCAACAATGTGCAGTTCATCCTTTGCACCAGCCCCTAAACTGACTGTTCGTAAAGATAATTGGTGCTCATTTTCATCATTATCCACCTTAAAGTGATAATCTTTGTTGACCTTTAGTTAACAACCGAAAAGATAGTTCTGGGGCCTCAGAGGGCTCATGTCCATGTCCGTTGAATTTTCCATGGGTGGTAGCACGCACTTTAGGTGAGAGAAGGCGGACGGAGATAAACGACTTGTGTTGCGCAGCACAGACGTGCAGCACGGGATCGCACCAGGGAAAAGTCGTCTTGTTTTTTTTTTTTGGTCAGTTTATACAAAGGGTTATCAATTTTGTTGATCTTTTTCAAGAACCAACTTTTGGTTTCGTCTTTTTATCCTATTGTGTTTCCAGTCTCGATTTCATTAAGTCTCACTCTAATCTTTATTATTTTCTTCCTTCTGGTTGCTTAAGGTTGCTCTTCTCTTTTCAGTTTCTTAACTGAAACTGATGGTGGGTGTTTGGTTATTGATTTGAAATATTTCTTCTTTTTGGAATACATACGAGCTTTTCCAGCTGTAAACTTTCCTCTAAGCACTGTCTTAGTCTGTTTGAAATAGTATAACTAAATACCACAGACTACATAGCTTATGAACAGCAGGGATTTATTTTTCACAGTTCTGGAGGTTGGAAGTCCCAGACCAAGGTACCAGCCTAGTCACGTTTTCTGGTACGGGCCCTCTTCCAGGTTCATAGCTGGCACCTTCTTGCAGTGTCCTCGCATGATAGAAAGGGCTAGGGATCTATCTCCCTGGAGCCTCTTTCAGAAGGCATGAATCCCATTCATGAAGGTTCCACTCTCATGATTTTAGCATCTACCAAAGGCCCCACCCTCTACTAATACCATCACCTCTGGGAGTTAGGATTTCAAGATGTGAATTTGGAGGAGCACACTCAGACCAGAGCATTCCACCCCTGGCCTACCCCAAATTTATGTCCTTCTCTAATCCAAATATGTTTGTTCCACCCCAGTAGCCCCTAAAATTTTAACTCATTCCAGCATTTCCTCAAAAGTCTTAAGTCCAAAGTCTTATCTAAATATCATCTAAACCAGTTATGGGTAAGACTCAAGGTCCAATTCATTCTACGGCAAATTGCTCTCCAGCTGTGAACCTGTGAACTCAAACAAGTTATATGCTTCCCAAAAAACGACAATGGGACGGGTGTAAGATAGACATCCCCATTCAAAAAGGGACAAAAATAGAAGGAATGACAGCTCCGAGGTAAGTCCAAAACCTAATGGGACAAAGAACATTAAACCCCAAGGCTTAAGAACAGTCCTCCTTGGCTCGGTGCCGCACATTCTGGATACAGTGGAGCTGCAGTCTAAGCCTCTAGACCCCACCCCCATGGCTCTGCCAAGTATAGTGCAGCCCACACTGCCGTTCTCACAGGCTAGGATTCAGGCTGGAATCCCACATGGTAGCTTTACTGGTCTGGAGGGGAAGGCTCCACTAGGCATTGCCCTAGTGGGGGCCTTTTGCAGTGGCTCTGCCCCCCCAGAGGTCTTTTAACTGGGCCCTGAGGGTCTCCACAGCACCCTTTGAGATCCAGGTAGAGGCAGCCACACCCCTGGCTCTTGTACTCTGCAAACCAAGGAGCTGGCACCAAGCTAATGCTTTCCAGAGATTTGCAACCTGTGCCCTCTGGAGGAGCAGCCACAGCAGCCTGTGCTGCACTTGGGGCAGCTGATGAGCATGGCACTGGGCTTTGAGGAGCAGAGCCCAGGAGGTGAGACGGCACTGGGCAACAGCAGGCCTTCCTTAAACTTGTTCTGCCCACAAACCATGCACTCTGGGCCTGTGATGGGAGGACCAGCCCTAAAGATGTTTGAACTGCCTTTTGGGTCATTCTTCCATTGCTTTGGACAATAGGTCCTGACTTGTGATTTTAGATGGCTGACCAATCTCCCTGTTGTCTTGAAAAATAGCTCCTACCTTCTGTTGAGATGGTTGATCCACAGCAATCTCTTTATCAAATTCAGCCACATCCTTGGTGTTCTGTCCCTAACAAGTTATCTTATTTCTTTTCACATTGATATGCTGAGAATTTCCCAAATTTTAAAATTATGCTGTTGTTTGTTTAACAATTTCACCTTTAAATCATTAATCTCTTCCAACATTTTCTTATAAGCATTCTAGAGAAACCAGGTGATTCTTCAACACTTTGCTTAGAAATTTCTTTAGTCAAATATCCAGTTCCTTGCTCACAAGTACTACCTTCTATAAAACTCTAGGGCACAAAAACAATTCAGCCTAGCTCTTTGCCACTTTATAACAAAAAATGGTCTTTCCTCCCGTTTCCAATGTTCCTCATTCCCATCTGAGCCTGCATCAGAATGATCTTTACTGTCCATATTTTGACCAACATTCTGTCCACAACCACTTAGGTATTCTCTAGGAAGACTGAGGCTTTTTTTTTTTTTTTTTTTACAGCTGTCCTCTTCTGTTTCTTGGTCCTTACAAGAGTTGCCCTTAACAGCCCATTCACAGCAATGTGGACTTTCTCTAGCATGCACCTCTAGCCTCTTCCCACCTCTGTGCCCCTACCCAGTTCCAAAGCTGTGTCCGTGTTTGTAGGTATTTGTTACAGCAGCACCCCTTCGGTACCAGTTTTCTGCCTTAGTCTGTTCAGGCTGCTATAACAAAACACCACAGACTGGGTTAGCTTATAAACAACAGAAATTTATTTCTCATGATTTTTCATTGAAAACTGGACATTTTAGATGATGTATTGCAGCATCTTTGTTTGTTTGTTTTTATCCTCACCTGAGGACATTTTTCCATTTTTTGTTCAGATAGAGTGGGAGGGAAAAAGAGGAAGAGACAGAGACAGAGACAGAGAGAGAGAGACACATCCACGTGAAAGGGACAGAGACATCAAGTGGCTGCCTCCCGCACGACCCAACTAGGGCCGGGGACAAACTGCAACCGAGGTACGTGCCCTTAGTGGGAACCAAACCGGGGTCTCTCTAGACCGCAAGCCGATGCTCTAACCTCTGAGCCAAACCAGCCAGGGCTATTGCAGCATCTTTGAACATGGATTCCCCTTCTGGGGCTTGTTGTTAATATTTGCTTGTTAATTTGTTTAGTAACTTGGCTAGGCTGGCTCATTGAAGTCTATTTTCCCCAGCTGTACCACCCATCAGAGGGCACAGTCTTTGCCCTTGTAGTCACCCTAACCCCTCTTCCCCAAAGGAATAAAACTGGTTTTTAGCAAGGTTGCTTTTGACCATCTCTTTCCCTGATCTCCCCATTAAGCTTCTAAATGGCCTTCTTCTATTGTTATCACACCCAGCTATTAGTCTTAATTCTGTGTGTGTGTGTGTTTGAAAATGCTCTTTGGCATAAATTGAAGGGGAAGGGATCTTAGCTTTTTCTTCCCCTGGTTCGAGCTGGTCTACTATTTTGCTTGTTGCCGTTATTGAGCTACCAGCCACCTCTTACTTGTTCAACACTGTAGTCGCCATGTTTTTTTATAGTGCCCTTAGAGTTGAACTTTCCCATGCTCTGTTCCAATTAAAGTCAGTCCTTTAAGGGAGAACTACAAAGCCCACTCTTGTAATGGCCTGCCTCTCCTCCTAAGCAGAAACTCTGTACCCCTTGTTTTGATGGAGGCAGGGACAGTGACCCATTGCTATCAGCTGTGAGTAGAGGGCTGGTCAGGAGTTGTAGTCCCTGGCATTCTTGGCTTACCTCTCCCAGCATGGAAACCCTATCCTATATGCAAGCTGAGGTAAGGGCAATTGAGACCTAGAATTCACAGTAGGCTATGCCTGGTATGTACGGAGTGGGGACTGGGTAGAGGAAGAGAGCTCCAGGCCTCTCAGTTGTGCTTATTTTATAATAGCGCTTCTGCAGTGCAGACCCAGGAGAGGGAGAGATGAGAAGGACTAGCAGCATGCTTCTTCTGGAAATTTCTACCCTGGAAGCTGGGGGTAGAGGGAGCACCATCTTCTTGGCCACACCCACCTAAAGTAGCATTTACATCACCCTGTCACCCTGAGCTCTGGGGAGTTGATGAGCAGATCGTTGCTTAATTGCCACAGGTGCTCACTGTTCTTACTGAAACTCAGATTTCTCGGAATAGATTTGCTCTGTGCCCTTAGGTCAATTTCCTGAGATGTTACATGATTGTGTTTTATAATTTTCAATTATGGTTGTTTTGCTGGGGAGAGGGTTCAAGGAGCTCTTCACGCCACCCTCTGGAAGTGCTTGTCTTCTGTCCTTGATTATTAAAGAAATTGATAATGCTCAGACTTTCCACTTAATCTTCATTTTCCTGGAACATTCAGAGAAAGTACAAAAAGAGGCTAATGTTTTTATATAAACCCTAAAATGTTCAGTTTAAACTATCATTTTATTTGTAACTGTTTTGAATGAAAATGATATCAAGATTATTTTAATTTGCTCAAAGTTTTGTTTGGTGGAGACTAATTTTTTTTGTTCATTGTTGCCAAATAGATGAAATTCCTGAATCGTGCACTTGAGCAGATCCATAAATGCAGAGACATCTGGAATGTCCTGAAAGAAACAGGTATAGTGGGAACTGGGAGTTTGGTAATGTGGTTCTCAATGAATGGTGTTTGAAATTGGAATACCCCAGTCTTTTCTCACCAGAGGTGTGTGCCACTTGCAGCACTTTATAACCAGTCAAAGGATTCTTTAAGAACTAATGTTTCCCCTGTATGTCTATTTGACTCTGTGACACACTGCTTGGAGTAAGAATATATTTTACCTTGCTTTTTATGGAAGTATATAGTATTGACTATATATGACATTATTACTTGTAGGTCACTGGAGTAAATGTCTGATTTGATCAACCTTTTTTCACAGTATAAAAATTTTATCACAGGCCCAGCTGGTGTGGCTCAGTGGTTGAGCGTCGACCCTTGCACCAAGAGGTTGCTGGTTTGATTCCCAGTCAGGGCACATGCCCAGGTTGTGGATAAAGGGAAAAAAAAGAAAGCTCGTCTTTTTTTTATGTAGTCTTTGAACCTTTACAAAATTGATCATAGGGAAAATCTGAATCAATTCTTAAGATATAAATAAAACAGATGGTATTATCTGATCACATTGCAGTAGAACTAAGAAATATTAATAGACTAAAGAAACAAAACCCTTGATCATTTGGACATTTTAATTTATTTTTTTATTTTTATTGAATTTATTGAGGTGACACTGGTTAATAAAATTATATAGATTTCAGGTGTACAATTCTATGCTACATATTGTGTTGTATGTTCACCACCCTAAGTCAGGTCTCTGTCCGTCACTATTTATTCCTCCTTTTACCCTCTCCCCCCACTCCCCTCTCCCCTTCCCTCTGGTAATCACCGTACTATTGTCTGTACCTATGAGTTTTTTTCCTTAATTCCTTCATCTTTTTCACCCAGCCTCTCCTCTGACAGCTGTCAGTCTCTATGAGTCAGAGTTTTTGTTTATTTCATTTGTTGGATTCCACATAGTGAAATCATACGGTACTTGTCTTTCTCTGACTGGATTATTTCACTCAGCATTATACAGTAAACCCTTGATTTTGTGGACATCAATTTAACGGACTTTGGATTTACTGGACAAAATTTCCAGTCCATATGTCATATGTGAACATTAACACTCTGTTAATTTTAGTGAATAGGCCATATGCTGGAAAAAACACTGTAGTAATTTCGCTGACATAAATAAGCATTATATATCTGCAACTATAGTCTACATATTTAAATCCAAGAGTCACCACTGGTAAACAGTGTTGGCAAATGATTAGCACGTGATCACACCACATCAAGTGCGGCAACTGGTTCTGTTGCTGTGTGGTGTGACTTTCTGCAGCCATTGAACGTGCATGCTGCTGATGTTCCCACATGCGTTGTCACACCCCAGCCGTGTGCATTTGTTTACTCCTGGTGACTGGTGAATACCCGCATTTACTAGACGTATCAGTATAAATTTAAACTTACAGTAATACATATAGAAAACTTTCCTGTGAAAGTAAACTTTTCACACATAATTTTAATTACACAAATGTGTCTACCAAGTGAAAACAGGTCAACTAACTAATTTGTCATTTTTGGATTGTATACTTGAAAGTTGCAAATTTTAAATATTCTCACCACACTTACAAAATAAGTACATGAAGTGAAGGATGTATTAACCTTGTTGTGGTAGTTATTTTGCAAGATATATGTATATCAAATTACCCCATTGTATGCCTTAAACTTACAATGTTATGTCAAATATATCTCAGTGAAGCTGGGGGGAAAAAATCTAGCAATATATAAAAGGAATTGTGTACCCCCAGAAGACCACTGAGTACAGCTCCAAGGACGATGGATTATAACATGTTGTTAAAATGGATTTTATTTTATTTTAAAAATATATTTGTATTGATTTTAGAGAGAAGGGAGAGAAAGAAACATTGATTAGCTGCCCCCTTGCACATTCCCGATAGGGGATCAAGTCCGTAATCCAAGCACGTATTCTGTCCAGGAAGCAAACCAGTGACCTCTTGGTCCATGGGATGACGTTCAATCACTGAGCCACACTGGCTAGGCCCATCATCGTTGAAAGTCTTAGTAGTTATGGCAAACAGGGTAAACCTAAGAGCTTTAGCACAAAGCCCAGCATGGGTCTTCTACCAGCAGAAGTTCAGTTTAGCTGGCAGGGCAGAGGATAGTTTACATTTGTATATGTTATATATTTATGTGTCATGGTCTCCTCATATGTTAACTCTGTGTTCAGTCATTTGAGGAGTTGCCAGACTGTTTTTCAAAGTGTCTGCACCAGTTTGTATTGTTACCAGTAGTGTATGGTGCTTATGATTTCTCCACTTTCATGTCAACACTTTTTTATCTGATTTTTTTAATCCTCACCCAAGGATATTTTTCTGTTTATCTTCAGATAGAGTGGGAGGAAGGGAGAGAAAAGGAGAGAAAGAGAAACATCGACGTAAGAGGGAAACATCTACTGACTGCCCCCCACATGACCCGGGCCGGGGACAAACTGCAACCGAGGTCTGTGACCTTGATTGGAATTGAACCCGTAACTCATTGGTCCACAGGCTGATGCTCTTAACTACCGAGCCAAACCAGCCAGGGCTGATTTTTTTTATTCTGGCCATCCTAGTGAGTGTATAGTAACATCCCATTGTGGTTTTTATTTCCTTATGACCTATTTTTCTGACAACTAATGGTGTTGAGCATCTTTTCATAGGCTTATTGGCCATTTTTGTATCTTCTTTGGAGAAATGTCTATTCAGACTCTTTCCCCAATTTTAACTGGATTATTGTAATTTTATTTTATTAAGTCATGAGAGTCTTTATTATATTCTAGATACAAGTTTTTTGGTCAGATATAGGGCTTGCAAATATTTTCTCACATTCTTTGGGTTGTCTTTTCCCTTTTGATAGCATCCTTTGAAGCACAATTTTTTAACTTCATTGAAGTACAATTTATCTATTTTTCTTTTGTTGCTCATGCTTTTGGTATCATATCTAAGAGTCATTTGCCAAATCCAAAGTCATGAGTGTTCACTCCTGTGTTTTCTTCTAAGGAGTGTTATAGTTTTTCTCTTACATTTAGGTCTTTGATTCATTTTTGAGTTAATTTTTGTATGTGGCATGAGGTAAGGGTCCAATTTCATTCTTTAGTCCTCACTTGAGGATATCTTTCCACTGATTTTCAGATAGAGTGAGAGGAAGGAAGGGAGGGAGAGAGAGAGATACATCAATGGGAGAGAGGCACATGGATTGGTTGCCTCCCACACCACCCAGACCAGGGCCAGGGATCGAACCACAACCAAGGTATATGCCCTTGACCAGAACTGAACCCGAGACTCTTTGGTCTGTGGGCCAACGTTCTAACTGCTGAACCAGTCCAGCCAGGGCCAACTTCATTCTTTTCTATATAGCTATCCTGTTGTCTCAGAACCATTTATTTAAAAAAAACAACAACAACAACAACAACAACAAAAAAAACCCACAAAACGATTCTTTCCCTGTTGGATGGGTTTTGCCTCCTTGTGGAAAGTTATTTGATCATTGATAGATGGTTTTACTTCTGGAGTGTTAGTTCTATCCCATTGACATATATGTCTGTCCTTTTGCCAGTATTACACAGTCTTGAGTAAAATTGCTTTGCATTAAGTTTTGAAATCAAGACATGTTAACCCTCCAAATTGGTTCTTCCTTTTCAAGATTGTTTTGGCTATTCTGGGACCCTTAAATTTCAATGTGAATTTTAGGATCAGCCTGTCATTTTCTGAAAAAAGAAAAAATAGATAGGCTGCTAGAGTTCTGATAGGAGTTGTGTTGTGTCTGTAGATTATTTTGGAGAGTAGTGCCATTTTAGCAATGTTAAGTTCTAATCCTTAAGTGTGGAATATTTTTCCATTAATTTACATTTTTTAAATTTTCTTTCAATGTACAAGTCTTGCACTTTACTTTATCTCTAAGTATTTTATTCCTTTTGATGCTATTGTAAATGGAATTGCTTTCTTAATTTTATTTTCAGTGTGTTTATTGCTATTGTGTAGGAATAGGATTGATTTTTGTATTCTGATCTTGTTAAACTTACTAGTTCTAATGGTATTTTACTGGACTCCCTAGATCTATTTACAAGATCACATTGTGTATGAATAGAGATGGTTTCACTACTTCTTTTCCAGTCTTGATGTCTTTTGTTTATTTTTCTTGCCTAATTTCTTTAGCTAGAACTTCTAGAACAGTGTCGAATAGCAGTGGTTAAAGTAGGCATTCTTGTCTTTAGTTGTTGTTTTTGTTATTAATCCTCACCTGAGGATGTTTTTCCATTGATTTCTAGATAGAATGGAAGGGAGGGAAGGAGGGAGAGAAAGAAATGTAGATGTGAGAGAGAGATATCTATTGGTTGCCATCCATACGACCCCAAGTAGAGCTGGGGATTGAACGTGCAACCCAGGTACATGCCCTTGACCAGGAGTCAGACCCAAGACCCTTTGGTCCTCAGGCTGATGCTCTAGCCACTGAACCAAATCAGCCAGGGCAATAGGCATCTTTGTCTTGTTCTTAATCTTAAAGGGAAAGAAGAGTATTTCACCATTAGTATATTGTTAGCTGAGTGTTTTTTAAATGCAGGTTGAAAAAGTTCCCTTTCATTCCTGGTTTTAGTCATTGTTTTTATCAGGAAAAGATGTTGGATTTTGTCAGATGCTTTCCTGACTCTTGAGATGGTCATTTAGTTTCTGCTTCTTATTTTATTGATGATATGTATTCCATTAATTGGTTTTCACTTGTTAAAGTGAAGCACAATAAAACGAGGTATGCCTGTGGAGTGAAAAAGAAGAAATACAACTATCTCTATTTGCATGCAGATGACATGATTGTCTATGTAGAAAATCCCAAAGAAGCTACAAAAAGTTCCTGGAACTAATAAATTATTTTAGCAGATTACAGGATACAAGGTCAATAGTCAAACTTGATTATATATCTATGTACTAGCAATGGCGTTCAAGAACAGGCAATAACGATCTATAGTGATAAAAGTGAAAATAGTTGTTAACTCTTCTAAGGTGGTATTGAGTAGAAAGGAACATGAGTTTTGGAAGTATTGTATATCATGATCTGGGTAGTAGTTATATGTATTTTAAACATACATAAAAAGTCATCAGGCTGCTCAAGATTAATGCACCTCATTCAGTTTATTGTATGTATGCTGTTCCTCAATACTTCTTTAAAAGTTCAGTCTAACAGGGTGAATGAAAACTGTCTCACATAGTATGGTATATGCCATCTGATACAAGATTCTGCCCATGGTGATAGCCAAAAAATATTGTTGACTGACTACAGGGAACAATTTGGAAACTTTCCTTTGCTTAAAATAAAACCACAGTTAGTTTATGAACCACTGTATCTTCTGCTTAATTCAGTCATTAAGTGAGACGGGTAAACATTGGATTTGAATTAGCGTAACTTTTTCAGGCTGAATAGGGACATCATCGCCATAATTTTAGGAAATATAGGCAATGCTGCTGATCGCAATGCAGGGTGCTGAAAGAATTGGTGAGGTAATAGATTTTAAAATGTAAAAAATGTGTCCACAGAAGCTGGGATAACCTTCGAATTGTAAGTGAAATTAATTTTTCTCAACAAGATAATCTCCCAAGGAGAGATTCGAATAAGAGAGAATATTGAAATGTAATCACAGAGAATGTTGCATTCTTGCCTCTTTCTTAGGGGACTTCTCCAACGACCCTTGTGAGATCTTGCTTATACTGTATGAGTTTGAAGTTAAAGCCAAAAAGAATGATCCGTTGCTGGACAACTTCCTGGATTCAATGTGGCACCTGATTCATTTTGAAAGTAAAGCATTAGAAACAATTGCAAGTAAGACCTATATTTATGGTTTGGGAGGCTAGTACAATTTAAATTGTCCTACTATTTTATTTCTGTTCTCTGTTCTCTCTACATTTCCTCATAGCACTTTGTTTTTCCACTTTGTTATTCCTTCTCTAATGGCATTCTTGAACCATTTTGTATTATAATCATGTATACATTCATCTTTTTCTTTATATAAGATTATAAGCTCTTTAGAGTCATGAACAATAATTACTTATATTTGTTGGACTTACAAACCCTGGCTAAGTGCCTTGTTTACCATGGATGCTCCTATTTACTCTGTGTGGAATGGAGTTCTATAACTACACAACAGGGGGAGCTCAAACTTAGTTTTGCTCGGCTGGCTAGAAATGGTCAACCACTGCTCCATTCATCAAAGGTGATGCAATCAAAGCAATTTATTAAAGGGTACCGAGAAATGTCGGTAGTATTTTTAACACAATTGCCACTTTCCAATTTCTGCCTGGGCTGTAAGTGGTATTTGGGGGCCCAAAGCCTCTCTAGGGATATACTGCAAGAAATGGCCTAATTGTCTTCTCTTTTTATCTCTCACCCTCCTCGGGAGCCTGTGTGTGGTTAATAAAAGTGTTAGGTAGCCCTGAATGCACAAGAGTCACATTTGCCTTTCCTTGTATTGCCAAGACAGAATTCCTAGAGACCTGGAGCAGGTGGTGGATACACTGTGGACATGTGATGGTTACCACTGCTCATGGTATAAAAGAACTCTAGTTCTAGAGGCCTGGTAGATGCATCTGGAAGTCTTAGGGTCTGTTATCTTGGACACCCACTCTCATGTCAAATGTTTCCTGTTTTTAGAATCAGACAGAAATAGCAAACTGTTGTAGGAACCTATTTTTGATGTGTACCCTTTTACTGCCCTGCTCTCTGTGTCCTTAGTGCCTGTCCTGGACTCCGGTTCATAAGATTATTGCTTTACCTATAGTACTGTGCAGGGTCACAAAAACATTGTAGGTTCTTTGTTGCTGTTTGCTGAAGAAAAGCTATAACCTGCTGATTCTACTATGTTACTCTGCCCAGAAAGTAGATGCTGCCTCTGAAAGCCACCACAGATTCATCATTTTATAAGTGTGTGTGTGTGTGTGTGTGTGTGTGTGTGTGTTCATGTTCATGTTCATCTGTTTCAGGCCAGTTGTGTTAGAGAAAGCAAGTTGTGGTCTGGAATGGAAGCTGATGGATGAGATTATGGTGTTCACAACCTTTTTTCTTCCCTTCCTACAGCATTAGCAATGGAAATGCCTGCATACTATCCTTCCATTGCCCTAAAGGCCTTAAAAGGGGCTTTATTGCTTCACAAGAGGAAAGAATCATTTGATGTCATGAAATACAGGTTAGTGATTGTAACTCAACACTGTCTCCAGGCTTTTTAATAGCCAGAGAGCTATGGTCAGTGTCTCAGAAGTCATCGATCATACTCCACTGGTCCAGTTTAAAAGACGATCAGGGTGCTCCTGTAACTCCTGAACTAAAAAGCCTTCAGAACAGCTCCATATTCAGAGTTGTATTAAAACACCAAGAATTAGCCCTGGCCGGTTTGGCTCAGCGGTTAGAGCATCGGCCTGCGGTCCTGAGAGACCCGGGTTCGGTTCCCGCTAAGGGCATGTACTTCGGTTGCAGTTTGTCCCCGGCCCTGGTTGGTCGTGCGGGTGGCAGCCACTCGATGTGTCCCTTTCACGTCGATGTTTCTCTCTCTCTCTCTCTCCCTACCACTCTATCTGTACAAAAAAAATTGGAAAAATGTCCTCGGGTGAGGGTAAAAAAAAAAAATAAAACACCAAGAATTAATTAGTGAAATCCAGGAGTCTGGTTTTCCCAAAGGAGAAAAAGAGAGGGGAGGTTGCTTCTGTGTGTGAGTATGTGTACACTAAAATTACTAGGTACCTGTCTTTATTTCATTACTAAATATGCCAAATGTAGACAGATTAATATAACAACAGTATATTCCCCGCCAAAGTTTAACAATGTTAACATTTTGCTGTATTTGCCTCAGATTGTTTCTAAGCACTTTTTTGTTGTTAACCTCACCTGAGGATATTTTTCCATTGACTTTTATTTATTTATTTATTTATTTAGATAGAGTGGAAGGGAGGGAGGGAGAGAGAAAGAAAGAAACATCGATGTGAGAGACACATTGATTGGTTGCCTCCCATATGATCCTGACCTGGGCCCAGGATCAAACCTGTAACCCAGGTACATACCTTTGACCAGAATCAAATCCATGACCCTTTGGTCCGAGGGTCATCGCTCGAACTGCTGAGCCAAATTGGCCAGGGCTCTAAGCACCTTTAAGGGCCAGTAATTGTTGTACATAATACATATTATTTATTGGAGATTTTGTGTTTTCTGTGCCTACATATGGGGAAAAATAGAAGTTATGTGATTTTTTTTTTCTGGAAAACATCATTATAGTCTCCTTTTTCTGAGATTTGAGAGACAGTGCTCCTGGAATTATTTCCAATTTAAATCCCAGTCTTGCTTATTTGAGGGTGTAATGAGATGCTTTAAAGTGCTTGTAGATTCAACCAGCTCATAAAATATAGTAAACAGCCACAACTCCTTAGTGTAGGAAACTTTAAAAAAAAAAGTGAAAGACAACCATAATAAAAGGAAGGATTGGTCAGCCCCTTTTATAGCTTCAAAAATCTGTCTTCTGAGGTTGGAGGCCAGACTGAATTTCGGGAAGAACAGACATGTTTTGAAGCTCTGCGTCTGGGATGAGATCCAGATTTTACTTATCTCAGCCATGGAGCCAATGATTTCTTTCCTTATGGGATGAGTTTTCTCTCTTTGATTTCAGCCACTGTCTGCACAACTTGATTAACCTCTTAGTGCCAGGTGGGGTGCCAAGTGCAGAGCTCTGTCCCCTGGAAGAAGTTTGCGGCTATTTCGAAGATGGCTTGAATCTTATTTGCCACACCGTAAGTCAAGCAATGATCTTAAGCTTTCAGCTGATTTTAAAGATTTGAACTGTCTTGTGTATTAGGAATTACACAGAATAATGCTTTCTGATACGAGTTTTAGGGTAAATTCATATTACAATGTAGTTACACACTACAAAATTTCCCTGGGTTTATGAAATGTAAGTAATTGATAGTAGAAAGTTTCCAATATAAGTGTACTGTGGATTAGGTCAGTACTACCTGGCACTTTGGTTTTTTTTTCCCCTTCATTGATTTTTAGAGAGAGAGGAAGGGAGAAAGAGATAGAAACATCGATGTATGCCCCCCACTGGGGATCGGACCCACAACCTGGGCATGTGCCCTGACCGGGAATCGAACCAGTGACCTCTTGGTGTATGGGTTGACGCTCAACCACTGAGCCACACCGGCCGGGCTTATTTTGTATTTTGTTAAAGATTTTTCATCTGTATTCATGAGAAATATTGGTTTGTATAGTTTTCTTTTAGTGTACTGTCTGTGTCTGGTTTTGGGATGTGTTCTCTCCTCGTCTACATTTTTGGAAAAGATTGTGTAGAATTTATTAGTTCTTTTCTAAACGTTTGGTAGAATTCTCCAGTGAAACTATCTGGGCCTGCAGATTTCAAGAGTTTTTAAATTATAAATTAAACTTCCTAAATAGTTATAGAACTGTTCAAACCATTTCATATTGGATGAGTTGTGGTAACTTGTGTTTTTCAATGAAGTGACCTATTTAAGTTGTCAAATTGCTGTGTATAGAGTTCTTCATATTATTCCCTTATTATTCTTTTGATGTGTGCATGGCGTGCAGTGATGTCCACTGTTTCATTCCTGATATTGACAATTGATGTCTTTCCTTTTTTCTCTTTCTTCCCAGAATATAAATTTTATCCATCTTTTCAAAGAACCAGCTCCTCCTCCATTGATTTTCTCCATTGTTTCTGTGTTTTCAGTCTCACTGATTTCTGTTCTTATCTTTATTATTTACTTTACTCTGCTTCCTTTGCATTTAGTTTGCTTTGCTTTTTCTAGGTTTTTGAGATAGAAACTGAGAGTGTTAAGACTTTTCCTTTTTCCTGATGTATGCGTTTTCTGATGTATAGCACTTTGCTCACATGCACACCTCAGTCTCAGAATGATTAAAACAGAACTTAGCATGATCTTGATCCTGGATCCCCAGAAACATTTCTTTCCAATTTCTTCTTTCAGTGGAATTGGCATTCTCTCCGCCATTCGAACTGTGTACTTTGGAGCCATTTTCAATGGACCTAGGCTTACATTCTCCACATCAAGTTACCAGGTTCTGTTTCTCACATGTTTCTATTTCCATTGTCACTGTTTTAGTTCTGACCCCCATCATTTCACCCTTAGACTCTTCCTACTCTATTTAAACAGATCTGGCTGTCTGTGTTTTCCCTCACTCACGTCTGTTCTAAACACCACAGGCATTTCAGTCTTACTAAAGCTCCAATTTCATCCTAGCACTTCCCTTCTCATAAAGTTTCAGTGACTTCTAATTACCAGTAGAAGAAATTCCGAGATCTGTACTTATAATGCAGAAGTTCTAACATTCCAGGCCAGTATTTCACAAGTTACATTCAACATGTTGTAAGTGAACATCTGCGTACCCCGGATCCAACAAAGTTATGTGGTTTCCTCACTGTAAAACTTCCCAAACGTTTAGTGAACTAGTGCACATTATAATGCTCCAAAAGGATGTATATAGAAGGCAGTATTTCTAAAACATTTGACTCAAGAACCCTATTTGTATGACCATCTGTTAACATTTTTCATAGCACTGATGTTCTGAGGGAAAGCATTTAGGAAATGCTAAGGTAGACCCCATCTACATTTCTAGTCCTATTTCCCGATAATTTCCCTACAGAAATTGTCTGCTCAGGCCAGATAACTGTTAGTCTCCCTGAGACATGCTCAGTCTCGAGCACAATCTGAGTTTTTATTTATTCTGCTCTGCCCATATGGAATGTCCTTCTCGTTCTCTGTACAGATCTATGTATTCGTAATTTCTATTGATATAATTCATATATCTTAAATTTAGTTTTAGACATTTTTTTCTTTATTGATTTTTAGAAAGAGAGGAAGGGAGAGGGAGAGATAGAAACATCGATCAGAGAGAACTTCAATTTGCCGCCTCCTGCATGCCCCCCACTGGGGATCTGACCCACAACCTGGGCATGTGTCCTGGCCGGGAATTGGACCAGCGACCTCTTGGTGCATGGGTCGATGCTCAACCACTGAGCCAACTGGCTGGGCAAAATTTACAGTTTTAAAGTATAGAATTCCGTTGTTGAGAACATTCAGAAAAGTGGGAAACTATCACCAGTATCTAACTCCAGAGCATTTTCTTCAGCCCAAAAAGAAACCCCATAAGCATCAGCAGTCATTCTTCATTACCCACTCTCCCAGCCCCTGGCAACCACCAGTCTGCTGTATATCTGGATTTGCCTGTCCCGGACATTTCAGATAATCTCTGTGTATCTGGATCCTGCTCATCTACCCTAAGACCATATTTGTTTGTTCAGTCATCATTCATTCAGTTCAAATCACAACATTGTCGGACACTGTGCCAGGCGGGGGCTATACAAACGGAGATGACATTTTGCCTCGAAGGAACTCCCAGGCTAGGGGAGGAGACAGACAGCACAGTGTTGTAAGTGCTGCTGTTGTGCTGTGAACAGAGTGCCATAGAGCATACTGGTGGGCATAATAAAATGTGGAGAGGCAGGGAAAGCCTCATGGAACAGCTTTCATTTGGGTAGATATTGACTCCCTTGTTCATTTGTCATTTCATTCATTCAGCAAACACCTCTTGTGCCCATCATGGGCCAGGCACAGTGTTGGATTCTTTTTGTTGTTGTTAATCCTCACCTGAGGATATTATTTCCATTGATTTTTAGAGAGAGTAGAAGGGAGGGAGGGGGGGGGAGAGAAATACATTGATTGGTTGCCTCCCTCATGCACCTCAACCAGAGCCTGCAACCCCAGGTATGTGCCCTTGGCCGGGAATCAAACCCACGACCCTAAGGTTTATGGGATGATGCTCCAGCCAAATGAGCCGCACTGGCCAGGGCCGTAGTAATTTTTTTGTAGATCCAAATGAGTAAATTATAGCTGAGACAACATTATTGACACTCTCAAGAAGCTGCTTCCCAAGTCTTCTATCATTTCCCCTTCCAAGGACTTGAGACCTAGTGTTTAGATGAAGGGCTTTAACCTGGTTGCTCTCTGTGTGGTCCATCTCCTGTAGAAGAACTGAGAAAGTTGCTCCCTACACTAATACCCTTCACTATTGCAAAATTTTGTGATCAGTCATGTTAAACACACTCATGAGGCAAAGGGACCGTCTTAGAGATGTACCCTTTGTTCATAGCTAGGTAGGTGTTGTCAACACTAAAGATTAATATTTATTAAAAATCACCACCAGTGGATGTTAAGTAAAACAGATTACCCCCCATAACCAATGTTTGTCTTAAAGGCAAGAACTGAGTTTTCCTGGCGAAAGAATTCTGCCTCAAGACTCTAACATAGAAACCCTGCCTACGTTTTCAGCCTGCTGGCCTGCCATACATATTTCAGACTCAAGATTGCAACGTCAACTCTTAGCTGAGTTTATAGCCTATTGGCCTACGGATTTCAAACTTTCCAGCCCCCACAGTTGTGGGAACCGCTTACTTAAACTCTCCCTCCCTCTTGCTCTCTCCCTCTCTCTCTCTCTCACTGTGTGTGTGTGTGTATATAGTGTCCCAAAAATGTATAAAGAGTGTCTATAGTTTCGATTACATTTTGAAAATGAATTGTATTTCCATAAACACTGCCTTTATAATTATTCAAAGTTGTATATACATTTTTGGGACGCCCTGTGTGTGTGTGTGTACAAAAAAAGATTAATATAATTTTTGTTCCAAACACAAACTGATATGGGTCAAGGAAATTAAGAGATTTAATAAATCTGCTTCTTGACCACCACCCCTGAAAATTAAGGGATTAGAGAGGGGTATTGGGGAGATTGTTGGCAGAGGACAGCACCAAAGGAAGCCCCAAACAGGAGACAGATGTTTCTCCTGCTTCAGGGAGCTCAGGACTCAGTCCAGGAGGGCCCCATTGCTTCTTTGGTTTATGTCACTTCATGAGGTCTTGACCTGGAGCACTGCACAGCTGACAGCGTCACAGTGCTGTCCCGCTCTCCAGGAGCACAGGATTGCTGGCGGAGGCTGTGGCTCCGGCCTCTGTGTTAGCACAGCCCGTCTTGTAAGAACAGTGGGTACTCAGTGATGCCCTCAGTGCTACCGTGACAGTAAACCCACTGTCCTCGGATTTCAGGAAGGCTACCCGGAAGTGGAGATTCTCTGGCTGATGATGATGTCCTGGAATATTGGAATATACATGTATGGCAGGAAAAAGTACGTGGCTACTGAAAAATGGTGTGGCCTGTCAGTGCGTTTTCTTGACCACCTTGGCTCCCTCAGAAGCATCTATGAAACTCAGGTGAGGAGGGAGAGGGCAAGAGGTGGATGGCGGGACTCGGCAGACAGATTCTGTCCGGGCTCTCAGTAAGGACCCAACGCTACCTTCCTGGACTAGGAAAGGATCTTGATCACTGTTTCTCTCGGCAGGTCCATAGAACCGGGAGAGTTAGGGGACTGGAAACAGTAGTTAGGTTTTGGGTATCTTCTCCCTTATAACAGCTGCCTGTCCCTAGAATACGGACTAGCACATTGGGGTCCCTCTCCCCCAAGAGAGGACTGTGTTTTCTCCCCGGTGTGGCTCGGGTATGGCTAGGCTCTCATGCCATCGCCACGGTCAGGGAAGCTTTCCTGCGTGTCTTTTCCCCCAGGAAATCTATGTGCTGTTCTCTCTCCCAGGTGAATGTTCTGTACAGTGAGCTGGTGGACACACTGAATAAGAACAAGAGCTCCGTTTTCCGTGAGGAGTGATCATCCCTGGAACAAGCCAGACAAGCAGGCAGGCTGACAGCAACTGGGAGAAGGTGCCTGGTCCCAAGATGCTGACTGTCAACATTACCGTTAAATGTTCTCTCAATTTTTGTTTCTGATTTATTTCTTTCTGATTTCCCAGGCCTTTGTTTTCATTTTGTTAAATTTTTTGTTCTAAAATAAAAGCATTTTGACGCAAACCACTGTGACCAGCTCATTCCTGGCAGACAAATGAATTTTCTAAAGTGCTAATAATTATATATTGAAATAGCCCTTGTGAGACCAAGATGATTCATGTCCCATGTGAACAAAAAAGAGTGTTCATCCCAATCCAACACAGGTTGTCTTTTATTCCAGAAGTGCTCAAATTCCCAATACCTGAAGGTAACAAAGAACCACAAACTCACCATCAGAAGGACCTTAGCAGTCCTTGGGCCCAGCATTGATTGGATTCATGAAATCTCTCTATGATGCACTTGAGAATTGATTGTCTAGTCTCCATCAGAACATGTCTAGTCTCCATCAGAACACGGCCTAGACAGGAAACTCCCGAGTTGCTCTATGTGCTTTTAGTCAGGTGTGGGACACACTGACCTCGTGCGCCCGTTGGTGTGCTGCACTGAGAAGAACATAGCACTTTTGTGGTGTGCCCGCCCAAAATGCATCAGCTGAATTATCATTAGGAAGGGGAACACTAGATACATCCGAGTTGAGGTTCATGCTACAAAGTAGTCTGTACTCTTCAAAAATACCAAGCTCATGCCCCGGCCAGTGTGTCTCAGTGGTTGCATGCACCAAGTAGTCCCATGCACCAAGAGGTCGCTGGTTCGATTGCTGGCCAGGACACATGCCCAGGTTGTGGGCTTGATCCCCAATAGGGGGCATGCAGGAGGCGGCCAACTAATGTTGATATTTCTCTGTCATCAGTGTTTCCCTCCCTCTCTCTAAAAAATCAATGAAAAAAGACTAGCACATCTCTTCCCTTTATTGGGCACCTATTGTGTGACATACTGTGCTGAATGCTGAAGATGTGAATATGAATAAGACACGGCTTCTGCTCTGAAAGAGGAGGAGAGGGAGGCTGGGCGGTAGGGGCAATGCAACGTTCCAGGCGTGGCAGAGTGAGAGGCAGCACCGTGTAGCCGTTAAGAGCACAGCTACTGCAGCCAGGCCGCCTGTGTGACAGCTGGCCCACTTTTGCTGTGACCTTCTGCCTTAGTTTCCTCAACAGCACGAGGCTAATAAGAGCACCTACATCATGGGGCTCTTTGGGCAATAGTGAATTAAAATACCTAAGGCACTTAGTAGTGTTTGTCACTTACCAAGCATGTTATGAAGATTTTTTTTATCCTCACCTGAGGACATTTTTGCATTTATCCTCAGAGAAGGAGGAAGAGAGAGAGACACACTGATGTGAGTTAGACACATCAGCTGGCTGCCACCCACACGACCCCAGCCGGGGCCGGGACCAAACTGAGGTACATGCCCTTAGAGGGAACCGAACCTGGGTCTCTCTGGTCTGCCGGCCGACGCTCTAACCTGAGGCAAACCGGCCAGGGCAACAAATGTTCTTATGTGCTCCTAATAGAGCACAAAGGACAGAAATGCCAGTTCAACCTCTGGGGTGGGAGGGAAAATAGTAGGGAGCGTGTTCTCTCACATTGATGTTTCCCGTTCTCTTCCTCTCTCTCAAATCAATAAACTATTTTGCCCTGGCTGGTTCGGCTCAGGGGACAGAGCCTTGGCCCACGGGCCAAAGAGTCACGGATTCAATTTTCGGCCAACAGCACGTACCTCAGTTGTGGTTCATCCCTGGCCCTGGTCAGGTCGTGCGAGAGGCAACCAGTTGATGTGGCTCTATCACATCGATGTTTCTCTCTCTCCCTCCCTCTCTCCCACTCTATCTGGTAACAGCTGGAAAAATATCCTCGGGTGAGGAATAAAAAATAAACTATTCTTTAAGAAAATATTAAGAGGAGTCTTCTAGGCCAGCAAGATGGGCTGGCAGCAAGCACATTTATGGGCAGAAAAAGTGTGAGCAAAGTCACGGGTTGTGGTGCATTCAGGGAACTTTGGCAGGAGCACATGGGGACACAGCAAAAGATAAGGCAGGAGAAAGACCAAGGCCTGGTGGCAGGAGGGCCGTCCTGAGGACCTTGGATATTTTCCCTGTAGGTAGCTGCCTGGCCGGAGGGGGAGCGCTTTAGACAGCGAGTTCTGCCCGCTGTGGAGGATGTACGTGGGTGCAGGGCCCGTCAGGAAAGCATCCTCCTGCACGCGCTCTTCCCTGCGAGCAGGCACAGCTGGATCCTTCTGAAACCACCTCGTTTCCGGTCCCTCGAGTATGCAGGATACTTCTGCTTAGGGTGCCAGTAATGGGAAGGGTAGGACATGCAGGTGGTTCACTTGGCCGAACACAGAGAGACAAGTGGGCATCAAACTGCCACCGGGCACTCTGGCAGAGCTCAAATACCGAGCCCCTGTTTGCCGGGGAGGAACCGAAGTGCACAGGAGCCAGCTCTGCTATTTCTTGGAAGATGGGGAAAGAGATGCTTCGGGGGAAATTGAATTTTGAGCTTCTGAAAATTATTTGCAGTGATAATAAAATGTCCGACAAGTGACAAGGAAATGACTGAATGGACAAAAGGATTCAGAGAATCCAGGCCAGAAAATCCTAGATGGGAACAAGGATGAAGGTTAAAACTTGGGGAGACTGAACCTGATCAAGTACTGCCAAGACCCAGGTGGCTCACCAGGCACCCAAGCGCACTTCTAACCCCAGCACTGTTTTTGTGAATCCTCACCTGAGGATATTTTTCTATTGATTTTTAGAGTGGAAAGGAGGAGGAGATGAGGAGAGAGAGAGAGAAACTTCGATGTGAGAGACAGACATCAATTGGTTGGCTCCCGAATGTACCCTGACCAGGGCCAGGATTGAACTTGCCACCCAGGTACGTGCCCTTGACTGGAATCGAACCTGAGACCCTTCAGCGTGTGGGCTGATGCTCTAATTAGTGAGTCATACCAGCCAAGGCCAACCCAACCCCAGTACTCCTGTGGGAGGGCCTTGAGAAAGCTAACAGCTCTCCCAACACCCACTGAGCTCACTTCTACAAGGTTTTCTGACATCTTGGGCTTCTAGTGGTTGCCACCAGACAAGCATTGACCCTTTGGAAAAGGCTCCATTGTCCTTCAGTACTGACCCCTCTGATGGACCCTGGTGTCCCTTTCCAGCCCCATCCTTTTTTTTGAATCCTCACCCAAGGATATTTTTTTCCATTGATTTTCAAATAGAGTGGGAGGGAGGGAGAGAGAGACGGAGAAACATCTATGTGAGACACACAGATTGGTTGCCTCCCACATGTACCAGATCGGGCCAGGGATCAAACCTGCAAACCAGGTACATGCCCTTGATCGGGAATCAAACCCACGACCCTTGGTGTGCGGGCCGACGCTCTGACCGCGGGGCCATAGCAGCCAGGGCCCCATCGTGTTTTGCTCTAGTCTCTTCCCAGTCTTGCAGCTCAACTCCCACTTTCTTCTGCAGCCATTACTAGGGTCATCCTTGAGCACGGCTTCCACACTTGTTTTAGGTAAAGATTTTGCTTTCAGTAGCTAATATATAGGAGTACTTTCACCTTAAGAAATACTTTCTTTCACCTGAACAAATAGTTTACATAGTCATGGGTGTCATCCTATGAACGCTGATGTTTCCACGTTGCTGGGGCTGAATTCTCTTTAGCTGCACCTCCTCTAGGAGGGACAACAGCTGTGAAGTCCCAGCACAGTGGAGCTACGGGCCAGCTCTTTGTCCCCTTTGCACTTAGGAGCAGGATTTCCTTGGACCCCACAGAACACTTTGGGGACTCCCTTTGGTCAGGCTGCCTTCTAGCAAATGGGAGAATGTGTGGACGGAAGCAGCCGGCAAACTGTGAAGCACCACACACTGGTAAGGATTGTCATCCTTAGGGTGGTCCAGCCCACACACATCACGGCTGCTCGGTCAGTTGTAGCTTTTTTTTTTTAATCTTCGCCCAAGGATACTTTTTCCCATTTACCCTCGGATAGAGAGGGAGAGAGAGAAACATCGATGTGACAGAGACACATCAACTGGTTGCCTCCTGCGAGACCCCGACCAGGGCCAGCAACGAACCGCAACTGAGGTACGTGCCCTTGACTGGAATCGAACCTGCGATTCATTGGTCTGCGAGCTGATGCTCTAACTGCTGAGTCAAACCAGCCAGGACTGCTCTTGACCTTAAGACAGGCCTGCATCAGGCCCTGGCCTGTTTGGCTCAGCAGTCAGAGCGTCAGCCCTCGGGTTTGATTCCGGTCAAGGGCACGGACCTGCATTGTAGGTTCAATCCCCAGACAGGTCAGGGCCATACGGGAGGAAACCAATTAGTGTCTCTCTCTCTCTCACTCTCCCTGCCTCCCTTCCACTCTATGTAAAAATTCTCAGGTGAGGATTAAAAAAATGACTTCCACCCTGGCCGGTTTGGCTCAGCGGTTAGAGCATCAGCCTGCGGTCCAGAGAGACCCGGGTTTGGTTCCCGCTAAGGGCATGTACCTCGGTTGCCGTTTCTCCCCGGCCCTGGTTGGGTCGTGCGGGTGGCGGGCACTCGATGTGTCCCTTTCACGTCGATGTTCCCCCCACCCCCGACTCTATCTGAACAAAAAATATTGAGTGAGGATCAAACCAACAAACAAAAATGACTTCCTTTGGCTGCTCCTTGCAAGTTGCAGTGATATCCACCATGTCACACATAAGTGACCTAAGCACCCCTGTGATCAGGGAGCTGTGGGGATGACCCACCGTGCTCTGCCAGCTAGGACCTCCAGTAGGCCAGCTTTCTCCCACCATGTTTCTCTAGCACGGCCCTTTGCTGCAGCATCTCCCAGCTCACCTACCTTGGGAGGAAATGTCAGCATTCCGCCACCAAGGATAGGGGGACCCCTTCCCAGACCTAGCTGCTGCTATCTGAAGCAGTGTTTGTGGGCCTGGGGTGAGGACAGAGAATATAACTTTCACAGAGGACCCGCTGTGATCACAGGGGACTGGAACCATCCAGAGGAGCACCTGACTTGGTCCGCAGGTGATCAGTAAGTTGAGAGCCTTTTGGCCCCCAAACAAAGGTTTGAGATATTTTTCCCACCGCTGTGACCCCACCCACTTCAAGAAGGTCTCTGAGCCACAGGTCATTGCAACTATCATTTATTAAAAAATATATGTCTCCTTGGAAGGAACACTGGTAAACCAACTAGTGTCATGCTTTGAATCTTCGCTTTTCTTCCCTGGGAGGGGCAGAGGGTTGAGCATCGTTCAGACTTACATCAGTTATTAACATCAGAGAAATGCCCGCTCCCCGCGCCCCGCCACTCGTCAGTCATCGTCGGCCATCACTTGACCCCTGTCCGCCTGCAGCCCGGTGTACTGCCCAGGGAAAGCTGCTGCCCTTTCTTTACCCTCATTCTGGGCCCACACTTGACAGTTACGCTCATGGTGATCGTAGGAGACCCGTTTCCAGATGTCCTGCACGGCGTCATTCCCACTGCTCATTACACAATGGCCTAGAAACAAGTGACTCAGCCCCGAGGGGCCAAGCACATCCACTCTCTTCTCCCATGTCACGCCCCCAGCGTGGAGGTGACGGAGGCACGGTGGCGGCAAAGGGGCATGGTGGGGAGGGGCCTGAGCCACACCTGTCACCTGCATGTGGTCAAAGAAAAATTCCTTTGTCATCACCACCATCTGATTCTAGGAAAGGGCGACAAGGTTTTGTGTGTCGCCAGTAAATGCATCCTGGCTCTCCAGCGCAGAGTGAGCACAAGTCGGCTTCCCCCCGGGAGAACCAGGAAGCTACCCGCTGTTGGTGAGGGGCCGGGGGCGGGTATATGAGGCAGCTGCGAAAGAAAACCAAATCCAGCTTCTCGTCCCACGGCTGGCCAAGGCCGGTGCTGGCCCACTGTCCCAGCACAGAGCTGGAAGGCTAGTGACTGTCCCTGTCGGTGGGCCCCACGAGGGGGCCTCAGCTGAGCCCAGCGGGTCCCAGGCGGGGGAGTCGAGGGCCGCACCGCGGAGCCCCGGCCCCGCTCAGTCCTCAGCAGCCCCCGCTTCCCGTCCCGCTGACTCTGTGGCCCAGTCTGTGTCACCTTCTCTACCACAAGGCCCGGCGACTCCACAATATCCCGAGCCTTCAGAACACTGGCCACCTGGATTCTACGCATTCACTTCAATAGTAAAAGTAAAACGTGGAGTAATGGAAAGGCTGACACAGTAGCACAACAGCAGCTTGAAAATGAACAGAAAGGAAATCGCTCATGCAGACACATCGGGTGGCGAAAACAAGAGGCAATTTAATATGGAGCATCGTTAGCCATTCTCTCGCTTCCCATACACGGCACTGCAGCTCAGGGCAGCAGCTGCTCGTGGGGAGTCTCCGCCCTGGGCCCGCCTCCCGCTGGCCCCTCCGGAGAAAGCCCCGCCCTCAAGAGCACGAGCGAGTGCGAGCGCCTCTCAACCCCTCCCCAACCAGCCGGGACGGACGATGGAAATTAAAGCATTTCTCTGACAACACAGTACCACTGGTGAAGTCTCCATAGATTTTTCTAGTCCGAAGGTGTGTGATATATATATATATATATTATATGAGTGTGTATAATATATATATATAATAATTTCTATATATTTTAGATAAATTACATATATATATCTGTATATAAATAAGATACTTTCTGTGGCCGTGACGTCGCACCGTTCAGAGCTGCATGACGGCTGAACGGATGGGCAGCGGTGCCCGGAGCGTCTCCTGGGCGGTGCACTGAGCTCCCAGCAAAGCCACGCAGCTGTCCAGAGTCCGTCTTTCCACCCGTCCTCCTCTCTTCTCTTCTGCTCGATTTTTCTGAAAACAATGACTCTGATGGATTTGCGCCTGTGCTAGCGCGTGGGAAAGGTCCATGCAGGAATGGGCACAGTCACGTGATGAGTAAGATGGCATCATCCCCCCCGAAAAGAAACTCAAACAAAACGAAAATTTAAAAAAAAAAAAAACCAGAACAGGACTAGAAAACTCAATTTTTTTTTGACATATCTAAAAAAGGGGACAAGAACAGTAGTCATTTGTTCTCCCCGTGGGGACAGGAATGAAGAGGGAGGAGGGAAGAGGGGCTTGATTTCTTCTGTTCACACGAGAAAGGATGGAGGGGCTTCTTCAGAGTTTTTCGGGGGATGGGACCCAAATGTAGTGCCCGGACTGGTCCTCGATGATTTGCTTGATTTTGTTATAAATCTCTTCCAGTGAGTCACCCTGTACGATGGCTGAAGCGAAGAGGAAAAGAGGATTATTACCATGGTCCGGAGCGCGGCCCACACCCGGCAACCTGGCCCGTCCAGGCAGCTCAGCCCGCACCAGCACCCGGTGGCCGGGGCTGGCATCATGGCATCTCGGCCCGTGTCACTCTCTGTGAGCCTGGGGCAGCAGGGAAAGTGCAGGCGCTCCAAGCCCGGGGCTCGAAGTCACTTTGCTGGGACAGGGAGACTAAGCAGCAGTGAATAGGAAAATGTGTCGCCCACAAACTTTCTGGAGCGCCCCTTAGATGCCAGACCTGGTGTGCCCGGGAAAGGTATGCGCTCCCAAGTGCCCAGAAAGCGCAAGGGGGCCGAGCCTTGCGGAGCCCCTTCCAGGGCAGGTGCTGGCTGCTCCCAGGAGCCGGACTGGGCAGCTGTGGTCCTCACCTGTGAAGTACTCTCCGAACTCCTGCTCCAGCTTCGTGGCTTTGTCGTAGATCTTATTTGCCTGTTCGTATGTCTGCCTCCGGTTCATTTCCCTGCCAGAGACAGAAGACATGGAGTACTGAAGGGGACCCGACGTCCTGATCAGTCCAGGTCCCTGGGGATCTGCTCCCCTGCAGGGAGCAGCACGGGCCAAGGATCCCGTCTTCGGACCCTCCAGGTCTGAAAGCTCGGCTGGGACCATGCGCACGGGCCCTCCCCCCGGGAGCCCTCGGAGACCAGAGCTGGGGGGAACCCGCTTTGTGCTTCTCCTGGGGCACCCCGGGCCCAACCCATCCCTTCGTTTCTGTCTCCCGGCGCGTCACGGTAGCAGCGAACACTCACATCAGCGCCTCCACGGACTTGGGCTTGATGAAGACGGCGATGGGGAACACCTGTGCTTGCTGCAGCCTCTTGATGGCATTGCCCGACACGTCCAGGATGCAGTGCTTGCCCTGCGAGAGCCACGGTGCGTCGGCACACCCAGGCCGTCACCCCGAGCCCAAGCACTTACCCAGTGGCAACCCCAGCATCCCTGTGGGGGAACCCAGAGAGGCCTAGAAGATTCTACCCAGAGCTACACAGGCCCCACATTGTGCTCCTACTACCCAGAAGGCCAGGTCCTCAGAGGGGCCCGTATTCAGGTGGGTGATGCGCTGGGGTGAGGTGCATGGAGGACACAGGCAGAGCCCTCCATCCGGGGGCTGGGAACGGGCAGGTGGGCTCGGCCTTGGTGGGCAGCGCCCCTTGGGAGGCCCTGCAGCAGGAACCCGTATGGCACCCTCTGAGCGTTGCTTCTGTAGCCGGGCCACCTCCGGTCCTTACCCTCTCTGCAACCGCCCGCACCGACTGGATGCTGGTCCCGTAGAGATTGTCATTGAATTGGCCTGCCTCGATGAACTTGTTGTCCTGAATGTCCTTCTCCATTTGTTCTCGGGACACCACGAAGTGGTAGTCCTGGCCGTCCACCTCATTCTCACGCCGAGGCCGGGTGGTATCTGCAGGCAGAAAGGGAACGCTGGGCAGCCCGAGGACAATGGCGTGCCACTCTGTCACCTGGGTGCCAAGGCCACTCCAGGGGTGCGATGAGGGGGGAAGCCGCTGCGAAGAAGGGTACCTTGCCGACTTCTTCTCTAATCTCCCATCGCACACACAGCGGGCTGTTTTAGCTTCAACCGGGTCAGAAAGGTGGGGGTTCCCAAGCCAGGGCCTGGCAGAGGTGCTCCCCTTGTCAAATCATCCCTGACTGTCTTACTCCTCTCAACCCCATCAGCTTGGGGGGGGGGTCTACTGCCTCATGTCTTCTAGGGTATAAGATGCACCCTGTTTCCAGGGCACCTTGGAACCTGGCCCTACACCCTTTCCTTTGCACATCAGAGCCACAAACCCCAGGGTACTGGTACCCCAGACCCACAGCCTTCCTGGGCTCTTACGTGGCACACAGGATCCGAATTTATGCGGGAACTCTGAGATCAGGTCATCGTTGACTCTGTCCTTCATCGGGCCCAGGACGATCACGGGCCTTGCATAGTGAACTGGAGAGAGAGAGCGCAGGGCGGTAAGCGGGGAACCACCGGGCGGCCTGCTCGACCTGCACGTCTTCCCACAACCCCGAGGCTTGCAGCGCCCCCTCAGCCAGGGCGGTGTCCACAGCCATTCACCGGCTTTTAACTACAGACACCGAAGGTCCTTGACTTCGCGAATCTCTAGGTCCGGGGCCCCTCCCTTCTGGCAACAGCCACAGCCATTGAAGTGGCAGCGAGCTCAGGTGGGGCAGGGGCACACGGGGAGGCCCCCGTGCCCCTGACACAAAGAGTGGAAGAGGACAACGCACGGGGGCTGCACACGCTTTCCCGCTCCCCCACCTCTTCCCCATCAGCATGCCCCCCCGAGACTGGTTGCAAGGACAGGTTCTTACTTTCTTGCCGAGTCACTGGCTCGTATGACAAAATAGCATCCTCTTGGCCTTCTGCAACAAACAGGGAGATGTGTTAGTGCTCCCGAATCTGCCTGCCTGTGTGCTCCTCTCCCTGAGACACTCACCTCCGTCCCGCCTGTGCCAGAACACAGCCTGGTCCAGGCGGGCCTGCTCACACCTGCCCCGTGGCTCTGTCTGCTTCCCGGCGGCGACAAAGCTCGGAGAGCCCTCAGCGCCCCGGGACAGGAGCCAGGAGGCCTCTCGTTCAGCAGAATATTGTCGAGCAGACACATGACCCAGAAATCATGAAGCCTGCACTGGAAAGCACCCTGATTTTTCAGGAACTGTTCTTACAGGTAACTGTTGCCTGTGCTCAGTTACCCTTTTATACTTGTTAGAATCACTGGGAGGCTTCGACTGGTCCAGACGCACTACCCATGTCCTCGTGCCTGCAGGCCGGGAGGCGGGACGCTCCTGTAAGTGCCCAGAGCTGCAGCCTCACTTTGGCCTTTTAAGGGTCTATCTATCCCCCGCTTTACCTGGAAGAAGCATCCAGAAAAGTGGCACAAGGCTGGGCTAAGGTCCCCAGTGCCCTTTCAGAGCCACGCTGAGGCCTGCTCCCTCCTCGTGGTGGAACGCCATGTCCTAGCAATGGTGAGCTTTCCCCGAAACAGCTGCCAAGCCCCCAGCCCGGGGTGCCCGGAGGTCCCAAAGCGGCGCGTGGCAGTGCTTGGGAAAACAGGCCAGTTACCTGATCCTTTCACCCGGCTCAAAGGCAATGACACCAAGCCTCCACCCAGGAGGGCCTAGCGACCTGGCAAGATGAGCCCAGAGCCCCGGGGGTGCTTTAGGTGAGGCCTCAGCCAGGACTGCAGGGCTTCTACTCTCCTTTCATCTACGGCCCGAAGCCCAGCCCAGAAGGCCCCTGGCCACAGCATGTTCCGGATCTGAACGTGCACATGGCTCAAAGGAGCACGCGCGTCCCAACAGAAAGGGCAGCCGTGCAACACTGGAATGAGGGTGGCTGGGACACACGATGGAGCAACACGACATGGGGGAGGATGACACACACTTACTGGAGCTGCTTTCGCTGTCACTGGTGTTGGATGTCACTCCCTCTGCAAGCCAACAAGAAAGAGACTCCGATTCAGAACACGCCCCTGACAGGTCACACGTGGCACAACACTCATGCTCCGGGAGCGAGACACTGAGCTGTCAACCAAGTCAGGCCACAGGAGACCTGCCACGTCCACGCTGCCAATGGGGAGGCACAGCTCCAACCCTGAGCCCCAGCTACCTCGTGCTCGTCCCCAGAGCCCTTCACCTGCATCCAAAGAACTGACAATGGATGGCTTCCAACCCTACGTCCAAATGCATCTCCCAAGGCTGCCAAGAGAAAAGGCAAGGCAGTGACCGCAGCAAAGAAAAGTCCAGGGACCAGGCTGCTCTTGACACTCCCTCCCAGAGACAGGCCCCCAAGTGCAGGATGGCGTGCTGCTCCCAGAGTCCGAGCTAAGCGCAGGGTAGGCCGAGCAGTCACCAGGTAACAATGCTTTGACCACTAGGCTGCCACCGCTGTCTCGAAGGAGGGCGTGGCCTCAGCGGGGAGGGCGGTGCTCCCCCCTCTGTCAGCAGACAGACAACAAAGAACACCTGGAGGACATGACAGCTCTCCTGTCTCAGAGCCTGGGGACCTGCCCACACTCACAGGAGGCACAAGGCACAGTCTGGCCCGGACAACAGGTGAATGAAGATGAAACATGGACACGACACACTATGGAGACGGTGCTCATTTCAGCCAAGATGACACTGTTCTGGACCGTGATATGCTGTGGCCCCCAGGACGGGCTGTCTGACTTCCCCCCGCTGCTCCGCCCTGGCCAATCCCAGGGAAGCGGCTTCCCCTTCATGCCCCTAGGACTTATGGGAGGAGAGAGTGTGCTGGACGAGCCTCCGGCCTGGTCACCTCTGTGCACTGTGGGGGCGCGTAGGCCCTGATACCCAGGTCCCTTTACTTTCTACTTTAGGGTTATTCTCAGAGAGGAGAGGACAGTCAGGTTTTCCCCGAGCTAAAGCACTGGATGTATATGCTCCATAAATGCTGCTAAAGCCACGTCTGTTTGTGAGGTCCCTGGACCTGCTGAGAGAGCCCAGATGCACGGTGGGGAATGGGCTGCACGGTATTCCTGCCCCCAGTGAGAGACTGACCCCGTGGGCACCCCTCACCTCAACAATAGGCTAGTGATGAGCTGAGCAGTCACCCTGGAGAAGTAGTTTTTGCCCACCTCACTTACAAGGAAAACACAGACATGAATGGCAGGCTTTTATTGGGGTACCAGGGATCCAGAGCAGAAGTGTGACATTCATAGCCACTTGTACTTCCTCAAAAATACTGCCCTCCCCTCGCCCTTCGCCCTCACCCATGGCCCCTACACCCCCAACCCCAGCATCTCCACTCAGGCCCCAAACAGTGAACGGTGTGAACGTTTCACTTACTCAGGTTCTTTGCTCCATAATAATCGTCACTTAACCCAGGGAAGTCCTGATTTCACAGACAGCAAGGACAAAGAGGGGGGGAGAGAGGGAGGGGGGAGGGAGGGAGGGAGGGAACGAATTAGGGAAACAAGAGAAAAGAGAGAAAAAAGACATGGGAAGGAAGAATAGACCCAGGTGAGCATTAGTGACAGAGTATGAAATACTACGAAGACCTATAGCTACAGTGAGGTTAAGAACTTGGCTACAGAAAGAACATCCCACGTCAGATAAGATAGCTGGGCCTCAGGTGGCCCAATTTGCTGCCAGAGGGCCTTGGAGTGGACCAGCTTTCTCAGGTGGCCTCCAGCCTCCAGGATGACGGGGCAGGTGGCTTGCCAAGGCTCAGAGCACATGCTTTGACTGAATCTGTAGTTACAGAGCCAGGTCTCTGCTTTGCCCCGGAAGTCACCGTTTCCTTCTGCAGGTGCAGGGAGCGAACACCTACGTGTGGCAGGTGGGCAGACAGAATCGTCCCTGTCCCCATGAACTCTGCCCCGATACTGGTTCACTCTGTGCAAAGCCTGCAGGGAAAGCTCCGTGCACACTTGAGTTGTGCAGACCACAGATGATGAGCTCAGCTTCCAGAGGAGAAGCACTAGGCAGCTTCGGCTCTCATCCAACAGGTAAATGTACCCCTGTCAGCTGCGTCCCCAAACAGCGCCCCCTTCAAGGCTCAGCGCAGAGGTTCTGGGACTCATCTGGAGGATTATGGGGACTGTCCCCAAATGCTATGAGCAGAACCAGCCACACCTGGTGCTCCTTACTGAGCTCCCAGGGACTGTGAGCCATGACCTTCATCTGGATGAGGGCACACTTATATCTAGTGACCACCCTAGATGGCAATGACCTACATATACCACGCCCACGAATCAGGTTGGGCTATATAAAAGGGACATTCCCTAATTAATAACCCAGGGCTCCAAGACTCCTCCTTGTGAGGCCGAAGAGAGGTTTATAAAGCATCGTGAGCCACGTGACAAATATTACCCAGCCTGACCTGGCATTCAAGGTCAGTTCAAAGCAGTTAATTTCTGAGGTATATGTCAGAATACGAATATTCTCAGGATTAAGCTGGTTCATAAAAAGTTCATGTGGGCCCTGGCCAGTTTGGCTCAGCAGTTGGAGCATCAGCCTGTGAACCAGTCACGGGTTTGATTCCAGTCAAGGACATGTACCTCAGTTGCAGTTCAGTCCCCCACCCTGGTTGGGGTCATGTAGGAGGCAGCTAATTGATGTCTCTCGCTCACATCGATGTTTCTCTCTCTCCCTCCCTCCCACTCTGTCTGAAGAGAAATGGAAAAATATCCTCAGGTGAGGATCCCCCACAAAAATGTTCACGTAGTCCTGACCAGCTTGCTCAGTTGGTTGAGTGTCGTCGTCCCAAGCACCCGACGGTTGCAGATTTGATTTCCCATCAGGACACATACCCAGGTTGTGGGTTCAATCCCTGGTCAGGGCACGCACAGGAGACAACCAATCAATGCTTCTCTCTCTCCCTTTAACTCTTTCTAAAAATCAATGAAAACACATCCTTGGGTGAGGATTAAAAAAAAAGTTCATTTAGCTCAGCTATATGGTCTTTTCTACCAAAGCCCCTCTGTGTCAATTCCTTCAGGAAGGATTTTATTCTGAAAGCTGGCTCTGTAACCACTCTGGGGTGACGTGGGTCTGTGTGATTCAAGAAGTAGGCCAGACTCCAGGCATCCAGCAAAGCAAAGGCACTTCTCTTGATACGGGCGAGTGAAGTCAAGGGAAAGAAAACACAGGAGGAGGAAGCCAGGAGAGCAACACTGAGTCCCTAGACCTGGTTCTCTGGAAAATCCAGTTTTCCAAAGCTGACAGTGTGGCTGAGCACTGCTCCCCGCCAGGACTTCCTAGTCGGCCAGCCCGGGGACCAGTCGCGCTCAGAGCCTCCGACATTCTTTTGGAGTGACGAGCTGGACCAACAGAGCCAGCGTCTCCCTGTGCAGACCAGTTGCTACCCTGCCCCTGCCGACAAGCAGGTACACACGCACGCGCACACGGACACGCCAGCACACACACTTCCCAGTCCTCTCGCAAGGGGCGGTGCCAATGAGGAGGAGGGCGGGGCTGTGCGCCGGCTGCTCTGGACCCTGCTGCTACTTACGTTCCTGTATGCTGCTCTCCTGGGCCATGTTTTCTTTGCTCTTGTAAAATGGAAACTTTCGAGAGAGGCGGAAACTCTTTTTACGTTTCGTTTTGCTCGACTGTGAAAGAACATGAAGATGGAGGGGAAGGACAGAAGAAAAAAAAAAACAGAACAATGGATTTTAAAGCATGCAAGGAAAACTAAAATGGAGACAATGGTGAGCTAAATAAAAGACCATTTTCCACAAATGGAGTCTATGAGATTAAATGAAAGTTGATGTAAGAGGAAAATTATGTTTACAGGAAAATGTAGGGATGTTAGAGGTTTCTACCTAATCCACACTCACTGGTACTTTCTAAAGCACAAAGGTCACTGCAGCCTCCTGAGACCTGCCCTAAGGTGCCACTGATAAACGGAGTCATTTACTCCAAGTCTGTCTTCCCTCTACCGCGCCGGAACTTCTTGGCCTGCGAAGCTCACAAAAGAACAGGGGTGAATGCAAGGAGCCCTCAGGCCTCGCTTGGTCTGAGGGGCGGTCAGAGCTGTGGGGCTGCCTCCACAGCTGGATGACATGTTCAGGGTCCCCACAGCGCTGACCGTGTCTGCGGCCAGGGAGACACCCACAGTGGTTTCAGGTGCCCCCAGGGGAAGGAGTCCTGACTGGCCGCAGACTGTGAGTGCCCTCTCTCTGCTAACAGGCCAGAGCCAGCCCCTGACAAACGCGGACTTTTGTGGTCCCAGTTCTCTTATCCACCACACAGACTCCAAGCTTCTTACTCATCTCCACATACTGGCTGACTTCCTGAGGACCCCACTTACCCTGTTGGACTCGATCATCCCCGTCCTAGCGTGGAACTTCACGGTTTTCAATCGAGCTCGCTCTTTCTTTTCCACCCTGTTTTGGAGTCAGAAACAAGTCCTCTTATTGCCAGTGCAGAAGCTTAGCAGCGGGGTTCAGCAGGCACGCTGAGTGATAACCATGTCCTGAGCACCAGCTCTATCAAAAAGGAATCAGCCCTGCAGGTGTGGCTCCGTGGTTGAGCACTGTCACACACACCAAGAGGTTACCAGTTTGATTCCCAGTCAGGGCACATGCCCAGGTTGCAGGCTTCGTCCCCAGTAGGGGGCGTGCAGGAGGTGGCCATTCAATGTTTGTCTCTCACATCAATGTTTGTATCTCTCTCCTTCTCCCTTCTCTCTCTAAAAAAAAAAAATCAATAAAAACACATTTAAAAAATGCATAATAGAGCCCTGGCAAGTTTTGCTCATCGGTCAGAGCATCGGCCCGCAGACCGGAGAGACCCAGGTTCGGTTCCCACTAAGGGAATGTACCTCAGTTACAATTTGTCCCCGGCCCTGGTTGGGGTTGTGTGGGTGGCAGCCAGTCGATGTGTCTCTCTCACGTCGATGTTTCTCTCTCTGCCCCCCTCTCTCCCTCCTGCTGTATCTGAAGATGAATGCAAAAATGTCCTCGGGTGAGGATTATAAAAAAACAAAAAGCAAAATAGAGCACATCCCCAGCTGTCAAGCAACTTACAGTATAATAAGTAAAAAAGAAATCAGTACCAAGGAGAGGGTGAGGAAGGCCTCTCCTATGATCGTGACAACTCACCTCTTCTTACTGGGGATCACACCAATTTGCTCGCTTTCTCCATGTGGGGTCACCAGTCTTGCCTGCCACCACTCATCATCAGAGGCATTAATGACATGCAGAATGTCACCGTAGGAGAAGCTGAGCCCCTGGCTTGGCAGGCAGCTGTCCCGAGTTCGGTCATAATCAAACAGGGCCCTGAAACACACAGGGAAAATGATCGTCCCAACCCTCGACACCAGGAGGCCGGCATTCAGGAAGGACGGCGTTGGAAGGCCAAGCCAAAGAGCAGTGCAGACCTAGACACCGCCCAGCCGCCCAGGAGGACTTCCCTTCCGTCCGTCCCGACATTACCATGTGCCCCGCTGCCAGACAGACATTTCATTCTGCCATCAAGGGAAAATCGTTCTCGACTCCCAGCTCCTCCCAGCTTCTATGTACATGGAAGTGCCAAGTAGAACACACTCGATAGTCTGCTCCCTGACCCACATCCCAGGGAAACAAACGTATCCTCAAGAAGCAGTTGAGGATTCACTATGATCCCAAACAACGAACGGTATGAAATGGTGCTCAAGGCTGCAGAACCACAAGAGACAAAAACGGCCCTGTGTCCTGGGGCAGCCAAGGAAGACGCTAAGGCCGATGTCAACCTCCATGATGTCAAGTTGAAAGGGACCCTGTGAAGAAGGCTCTGTCTCCTATATACATACGTGGAAACGGAGGCTGGACGTGGAAGAATCATTTGATGTGGGTCACAAAGGACCTAACGAGGCCTACAACTCGGGTCCTGTGACGAGACATGCAGAGTGAAGAGATAAAGGGGACAGTGGGAGAAAGTGGGGGGAGCTGTTCCATGCAGCTGGGAGTCACAGGAAACGGGGCCGGAAATAAACATTGGGGCAAATTTTGGAAGGCCCCTGAAGATGCGAGAGCAGGGACATAAACCCGACCTCGTATGCGATGGAATGACAGGAGGGTGCACCTGAACGCACACGCAAACCCAAGCTATGAGCTCAATCCTTCCGGATCCCTCGCTGACTCGTGCTCAGGGAACAACCCACCTGCGTGGACGCGTGTCCTTTGCTCCTCCGCCGCTCTCCTCATCGCAGTCCCCAGGAATGGGTGACTTCAGGGGGAACTTTGTACTTTTCTACTTGCAACCTAGGCTCTGACAGATTCCCATGAGCACCTTGGCATGCACAGCCCGGTGGATTTCCCGGGACTAGTCAAAGACCGAGACATCTACCTGCAGTGCAGGGCGCTGGGACTCACGCGGAAGCTGCCAAGGAAAACATGCTATTTCCCCGCACACAGGCCCCAGGGAAACACAGAATGTAGTGAAGCTGTGGCCAGTGAAATACCCCTCGATTTTGGAAACTTCTTAAAACAGAATCCTTAAGAAACCAGTCTCAGCTCCTTTAAAAATGAAAATGCCCAAACTGGAAAAAGCCCTTTATTTCCCTTGTCAAGTTACATCCTGAGAGCAGTAAGGAGAGAGGCCAAAGCCAGCAGATGAGGGAGGCACTGGCTCTGGCCACGAGGGTCCGAGTTCAGTGTGACACAATCAAATCGAATGTGTTGGACCCTGGCTGTGTGACTCAGAGGTTACAGCGTCGGCCCTCTCATCAGAGGGTCGCATGTTCGATTCCCTGGCAAGGTCTTGTACCTGGGTTGCAGGTTAGGTCCCCGGCCCTGGTTGAGCTGCACGGGGAAGCTACTAATCGATGTGTCTCTCTCATATTGATGTCTCTATCTCTCTCCCTCCCTCCCTTCCACCCTCAAAAAAAAAAAAAGAAAAGAAAAGTATCCTTGGGTGAGGGTTAGAAAAAAAAGCGGGGAAATCGATATACTGAGCATCTGGCTTGACTCATTTATTGCAGAATAGGAACAACTCTGGTCCTAAGTTCCCTGGCAAACACGACAAAAAAGGTAATTTCCCTATAAAAAGTGGTACCTAAGTCTGGATTTTATCTGATGAATTTGTGAATGAGAAATATTGAGCGATGTAACTGACAATGCTTTTTATACTGTGATTTTTGTCAAAGACAGAGCAGCACAATATTGAATGTAGAATTCTGAACTCTTGGATCATTCTCAGTCGAGAACGTAGAAGATGAATGAACAGCATTCTGCTTTCTGTCACTCAGAACTGCAAACGGGTAAGAGCCCTGCAGAACCCTGGGGCCTCAGAGGTCAACTCGTCACACTTCCTGTCTCCCAGTCTTTCCTAGGTCTTCTCTGCTGGACCAAACATTCCCAACTCCTTCACGGGTCCTTCCATTGTCTTGATTTTCATTTGTTTTCCAAATCCATGATGTGAATTCTTTCTAAGTGCACTTTGTCCATGCCCTGGCTGACGTGGCTCAGTTGGTTGGGGGTGTTCCGTGCACTGAGAAGTCCCTGATTGATTCCCAGCCAGGGCACATACCCGGTTGCAGGCCTGATCCCCAGCAGGGGGTGTGCAGGAGGCAGCCGATCCATGTTTCTCTCTCTCTCTCTCTCTCTCTCTCTCTCTCTCTCTCTCTCTCTCTCTTCCTTTCAGTCTAAAGATCAATACAAACACTTTATTTTATTATTATTATTTTTAATCCTCACCTGAGGATATTTTTCTATTTATCATCAGATATAATGGGAGGGAGGGAGAGAGAGAAACAGTGACATGAGAGGGACACATTGACTGGTTGCCTCCTGCATGACCCCAACCAGGGCTGGGGACGCACTGCAACTGAGGTACGTGCCCTTGACCCGAATCAAACTCTCGACTCATTGATCCCCGGGCTGACACTCTAACCACTGAGCAAAACCAGCCAGGGCAATAAAAACATTTAAAAAAATAAGGCATAAATACTCACTGAGCCCACTGCGCACGGGGCACTGTGTGGGAGATCCAGAAGCAGAGTGTCCAGGGCTGTGGCGTGTGCCACCTGACACAGCACGTTGTCGTGAGAGGCACAGAGCATATAAAATAAAGTGTTTTTATTGATCTTTAGACCGAAAGGAATGGAGAGAGAGAGAGAGAGAGAGAGAGAGAGAGAGAGAGAGAGAGAAACATGGATCGGCTGCCTCCTGCACACCCCCTGCTGGGGATCAGGCCTGCAACCCGGGTATGTGCCCTGACCGGGAATCAACCAGGGACTTCTCAGTGCACGGAACACCCCCAGCCAACTGAGCCACGTCAGCCAGGGCATGGACAAAGTGCACTTAGAAAGAATTCACATCATGGATTTGGAAAACAAATGAAAATCATGATAATGGAAGGACCCGTGAAGGAGTTGGGAATGTTTGGTCCAGCAGAGAAGACCTAGGAAAGACTGGGGTCTCTATAAGGAGGTGCTGACTTCTAAATTGAGGCTCAATGAAGATTCAGGGTTTCAAAAGGCAGAAATGGGGAGAGGCCGTTGGCCTAGAGGGTACAATGTGTGCACAGGCAAGCACCGGAGTGTGTGCGGGGTCAGCTAAACTTTCACGTGCAAAGTAACCCAGGCCCTGGCTGGTTTAGCTCAGCGGTTAGAGCGTCGGCCCACGGAACAGAGAGACCCAGGTTCGGTTCCCGCTAAGGGCACGTACCTCTGTCGCAGTTAGTCCCCAGCCCTGGTTGGGTCGTGTAGGTGGCAACCCGTCAATGTGTCTCTCTCATGGCGATGTTTCTCTCTCTCTCTCTCCCCCACTCTTTCCCCTCCCCCGCTCTCTCTGAAGATATTTTTTCCATTGCTTTTTAGAGAGAGTGGAAGGGAGGGAGGGGGAGACAGAGAGAAACATCCATGTGAGAGAGACACATCAAGTGGTTGCTTCCTGCATATGCCCCGACCAAGGCCGGAGATCGAATCCAAGACCCTTTGGTGTGTGGCCTGACCCTCTAACCACTGAACCACACTGGCCACAGCAGTGCTGGCCCTTTTCAATTAGCCAATCGCTGTCCTCAAGCTGACATCCCACACACAAGTCCCAGATGACACAGCAACAAAACTCTTCAACCTCTAACTCAAAAGGAGAGCGCACAGGAAAAAAAGAAGAAAGCTGCATTGATCTGTCTGCAGACATTGGAAGAAAGATCAGACTGAGTCACTCTGTCACGTGGTCCCACCCCACGTGTATGAGCAGATTGACAAGCAGGTGTGTTGGGAGACAGGAAGCCTTAGAAACCCCTCATTCTTCCTGGGTCTAGAGAAAAAGTTTCAAGGAGACCCCCAAATGAAGGGCTGGTCCGGTTGGAAGGCACGCGGTGTCAGGAGAGAACAAGCGTGCGGAAACATTACTATGCGCAGCCTCAGACTGCGGTGAGTGCTTACAGGAAAGATGACCGTCCAACCCTGCCTATGCTCCTCCTTGGTAATGGCACCTCTGTGAAGCCAGGGAGAGTCAGATCCTGGGTGTCCCTGCCACTTCTCAAACATGGTTGCTAAGCCAGAAAAATACTAACTGATCTCTTAAGAAATATGTTTTTGTTGATTTCAGAGAGGAAGGGAGACAGAAACATCAATGTGAGAGAGAAACATTGATCTGCTGCGTCCTGCACGCCCCCTGCTGGGGATGGAGCCCAAAACCTGGGCATGTGCCCTGATTGGGAAGTAAACTGGTGACCTCCTGGTGCACGGGACAGCACTTACCACCTGAGCCACACTGGCCGGGCAACACTAACTTATCTTAACAGCAGGGCAAAGCACACGGCCCAGGGAGCATGTGGCGCGTAAAAACAAAGAGAAAGTGGGTAATCTGCAGCCGAGTCACACCAGCAGCGAGAGCAGATGCTCTCCTCCCAGGTCTGCAGGTTGTAGGTCCCGAGCTCAGCCTCAGCACGGCAGCTGTGAATCCTGCTCCCTGTCTTCCCAAGGAGAAAGCAGTGCCAAAGGTCTTTCAAGACATGTTGTTGAAGTGGTGACCTTCAAACAGTATCCCCTAAGAGCTGTGCGCCTGCTCACAGGGGCGATGCACGGGCTCTGGGGCACTGGGCCTAATCTTCCCTTGAACTGGGGCCCCGCCGCCCCATAGGAAAGCAGGAATAGAAAAAGCTCCAAGTAAACAGATCACCAGGCCAAAGTCTCTACGGTTCCGATCCTAAGTTGTGGGGGGTGGATATGCAAGATGCACAGAAGTCCTGGGCTCAGCCTGGTGACTTAGTGAACAGGAATGCCAAGAAAATGGCAACAGCCAAGGAAACTGGTTGGGCAGGTTTCTCAAAGCAAACGAGCACTTCAGCC